ATATTTTTTTAGTATATTACTTGTGTGGTGTAGAAGAGAATTATCTATGTAGAGATACTGCTTGCAAACCAATGATGTAAGATGATGTCATGGGGTAGGACTGGATAAGTCTGACTTCTTCCTACTCCATTCAAGCATGTACTAGGTATAAGCAAATTGATATTGGATTAGCATTTGTTGGATATGTGTAAAATTATGTGTGTTGATATATCAACTGTCTTTACATGCTTGAAAGAATAAATCAAATCAAATCAAATGTGATTATGCAATGTGGCTTTTTATTCACAGATCACAGAGGATCACAACATGATAAAAGAGAACTATGAGGAGTACACTGTTGAGTTCAGTGTCACAATTATGGACCCAACTTACAGCGAACTGCTCAGTGACCCCGAGGCTCCACATTACAATGACATCACACAAGAGCTCGCAAACAAGGTGAGAGCCTAGTAAGAGTTTGCAGAGCCACAAGAAATGTTAACATTTCTCTGAGCTGTCTGAGTTGCTTTCTTTTAATGAAACCATGTAATTCTCAATACTGCAAAACAGAGGGATTGGAGAAAAAAAAATGCTCATGCTTCTTTGATCCCACTTTCATTGTGACCATCTTGTTTTTCCTTGTATAGATGCTTCATGTGTTTAAAAAAGTTCCAGGATTTAAAGAGATTCATGTTCTGGGGTTTCGGTGAGTTAATTTAAGTTTTATTAAAGGCTGGAACCTAAATTTTTTTTGGTAATGACAGATTTTGACAAAACAACATAGTAAATAATAAAAAAAAAAGTTTCCCTTGAAGTTACTTTCATTGAAGTGTTTTATTGCTCAAGTCAGAAGTATTCTCTTTTGGGATATAACCCAGAAGTCTATTACCAGTGAGTGTCTGACATGATTTGTTTGTGTTGATCAGATCAGAGGGTGCATCTGTGCGCTACGCTGTGGTCTTTAATGGAGAAACAGAGCTCAGTGATGATCCTGGGGGTCTTGAGGGGTCTGACACGGAGGCAGGCGAGGATATAAATGCTCCTAAACTGAAGCACATCATCCTAAAGGCCTTAAAACAGGAGACATCACTACTGCTGGACTTACAGACACTCAGCTTTGAGGCTGGTAAGCATAGTATTGTACTCAAGAATAAAATAATGTGGTGGTAATATTACTACTATCTGTGTATGTTGTCTATGTTGTTTATGTTTTAACTCCTCTGTTTCAGTAACCATAGTTTATCCAGTTGCTGAGCTTGGCATGAACTCTGTTGCGAGTGGAGTATCTGAGCACTATACCACACAGAGCCCAAGAGAAGACGACACTCCCACCCAGAGCTTCTTCCCCACAGTGGCAGCGATTAACTCTCTGGAAGCTTTGACAGAAACTCCCGCCATTGCGCATTTCATTCCAAACATCATCCCAGAAACTACTTCTGCCATCGCTGTTGAGACTCCTCTAATAGCAGCAGTAGAGGAGCAGCCCACAGCAGG